ATAAGTGACTCTTTAAGACAATCAGTTGTTCAGGCCAAAACTTAGGAAAGATCTTTTAGCCTCCTTCAGTCATATTCTGCTTTTAATCCATCAGAAAGTCATGCATTACTTCCAAGTTATATCCCAGATCTGACTACCTCTTATCACCTTCACCGCTATCGCCCTCATCCAAACACCATCATCTCTCCCCTGGACAAATGAAACCTCTTAACTGGTCTTCCTGCTTCTAATCCTGCCTCTCATCAGTCTAGCCTCCATCTAGAACTCATAGTATTGTTACAAGGAGTAAGTGAATTAGTGCATGTAAAACCCTTAGAACAGTGATACCCCAAACACAAACCTGCTCAAAACTCCTGTTTTTGCTGTTCCTCCTCCCTAAAAGATTCTGCCTGCACCACTTCTGTCTACTCTGTGCTCCCATTTTACCTTATCAGAGAGGGCCTTTCTGACCACCTACACTTATTCACTCTGCCTGCTTTATTTTATTTTCCCCAGTACTTATATATTTATGTACTGCCTGTCTCTTCCTGTTAGAATATGACCTCCTTGACTTTGGCTATTTGTTTACTGCAGGATCCCTGCACCAAAAACAGTACCTGATTTGGATAGAAAGAATAAGTTCTGGTGCTCTAGAGTGACAATAGCTAATAATATTGTAGTGTATATTTTCAAGATGGCCAGAAAAGAGGATCCTGAATGTTATAATCACAAAGAAATGATAAATAATTAGGTGATAGATATGCTAACTATTCTGATTTGATCACTATATAATATATGCATGTATTAAAACAAACATAAACATATACAATGAAAAAAAGAAATAAATAAAAAGTACCTGATATATACTAGGTCCTAAATAAATATTTGAGTGAATAGCTTTTGCTTGTGTGACTACAGTCTCTCCCTTACTGAAAGCCCTCCCATGGCTTCCTATCTCTCTCAATATAAAATTCAAAGCTCCTTTCTGTATCTTATAAGGCCCTGAGAGATCTGGCCCCTGACTTTTCTGGCCTTATCTCTGCCCTTCCTCCCTACCCCACCCTCCATTGCTCTATGCTGCTTTATTTTTCTTCATTGCACTCATCACTACCCTAAATCAAATGATTTTGATTGAATTTGTTTAAAATCCATTTCCCCCATTAGAATGCAAGCTCCACAGGACAGGGAATTTATTAAGTCCACTGCCCTAGTGTCAGCCCTTCAGACCCATAGTAGGTGCTCAGATATTTGTCAAATTAACAGTGAGGTGGAAAATTATAATGCAATAGCAGCTCTTCAATGCACTATGAGTTGGTAAACTGTGAGGATATGTGATTATGGCACCAAGCTTTCTGTTAGTGTTAGCATAGGGAAAATGAGGCAGAATCTATGATAATAGAGCAAGCTGCGTAAGTTGTTAAATAGCACTGTGTTCTACGTGTAGGGGAAAAACAGTATAATGCTGGAGATATTCAGTTTGAGATTTTTGGTTTCCATTTAAGGTACCAAGCAGATCAGTCCGCCTGGAACGTGGGGTGTGTAATGGAGGTAAATCAGGACTGTAAGCAGGGCTCAAGAAGTACAGAGTCACACCTGTGAAGGGCACGCTACAGCCCTTCTGAGTGCCCACTATGTATGTGTGGGGCAATCCCCACAGGGATCACCTAATGAGCCAAACCTCCTGACCATAGAATCTTGTGTCTTGAATGCTTTAAGATCTTGAAATGCAAAGATCTGAGGCCCAGGGCTGTAGGTGCCTGTTAACATTATAAGCTACATGACAGCCAGACTTCCTTGAGGTCTTCATAACGTTCTTTGTGGAGGTCTGAGCACCTGGCAAGAACTCGGTGGTCTAGAGCAAGTGGCAGGGCTGTGTCCAACTAAAGGGCAGTTCTGGAGCATGAGTCCCAGGATTCTGGGACAGGGATGTGATGTGAGACTATGGCTAGAAGGCAGTTGACCTGTGGAACTGGTGGGGAGACTGCACAGGGCAGCTAAGTGGCTGTGGCTTCTGAGGAGCTTTAATCAGGCTGGGCATCTGTCCCTTCTGGCCTCTGCAGCTCTGTCTTGAGAACCATTTTTCACTCAGATCCAGGGTCCCAGGTCATCATTTGGGTGATAATATAAAAACACATTAAAGGTCCTCATCTGAATGATATGGCACCAAAAGTAAAGCAGATTAAAACTGATTGCTCCTTGATTATAGACTGTTTGTTTGTGGTCCTTCTGTGATCACCTGATCCTAACACATACAATGAGACTTTTGAGCTCATTCACTCATTCACAAACAGTGCCTGTTTTGTACCTCTGCCTTCAAGGAATAAGTACATCAAATGCTGTGTTGCTGAACACTGTTTTATGTAGATATAGGTATAGGAATAGGTATCTATATCTATATCATGGGGAATATTATGCAATAAGATCTGTGATTTTAGGTGAATTCTTTAGAAAACAGCCCAAGAGATGGGTGGGGAAGAAGGAAGGCCAGCCAAAACCAGAAATTTATCAACTATGGTTGAGCTGCAAGAGTGAATGATTTCAAGAAGATACCAAGGCCTTGGAACCTCAGCAACTGACCAGAAAAAGAATCCTGTCTGGGGAGTAGGTGAGGAGAGAATATGAAGCTGCTTTGGACAGAGCAATTCTGAGGTGCTTGTGAGGTGTCTGGCACACAGCAGAGTAAGCAGCTGTTTGGGAGTCCCCTCATCCTGGTAATGGCTGAGGCTGCATAGTGGAGCAAATTTCTGCAGGAAAAGGATAAACCTTTGAGGACTGTCAAATTTAAGGGGGAGACAGAAAAAAAAGAGCCAATGACTATGACCCAAAAATGATTGAGGACCCCATACCAGCCAGCCACAAAAAAAAAAAAAGAAAGAAAAAAGAAAAGAAAAAAGATAAAATGAGAGAAATAAGAGGAAAGGATATAGTATAAAAACAAAATAACTAGGTCATTGACATTCAAATACAGAAGCATATATAATAAAAAGTGATGCTGTTATAATCACAGTACTGGATCAAAATGAACCCTGGAGGTTATCCCGTTAGACGACATCTTGGGGCTAAACCCTTCAGGATAGTTAATGAGTCATGGAAATGCCTCTAAGGACTGAGAGGCCACCATCCTGAGTGTCAGTTCTCCTCAGTGACTATCGCCTCAATTCTGAAGATATTTTCTTACCAAAAAAAAAGAGTCTTCCTGCTTTAATATCAGTCCATATTTTCCCTATTCAATTCTCTAGAAACATGTAGACTAATTGACCTCATTAATCACAAAAACCCAATTTATTCATAAAATTTTTGATCAAGATACTTTTTATCTTCAGCTGAAAGTGGCCAGTGGTGCTTGGAAGACAGTTGGGAGTCACCTGCCCAAGGTAAAGCATCACAATTAGTATTATCTATTTATATACTAGGGCTACAGTTAGAATGTATGGGTCCTTCCAAAATTCATATGTTGGAATTTAAATCCCAATATGATGGTATTAAGAGGTGGGACCTTTAGGAGGTGGTTAAATCATGATGGCAGAGCCCACGTGAATGAGATCAGCAATCTTATAAAAGGGCTGGAGGGAACTAGCTAGGCCCTTTCGCCCTCTGGTCCCTCCTGCCATATGAGGACAAAGCAAGGACATGCAAGCCTTCACCAAACACCAAACTTGCCAGGACCTTGATCTTGGACTTCTTAGCCTCCAGAACTGTGAGAAATAAATTTCTGTTGTTTATAAATTACTCAGTCTTAGGTATTTTGTTATAGCAGCAGGACACCAAGACAACTAGGATAAGAAATCTATATGAATTTCTGTAAAGAAGATAGAAATCCGATCAGCAGAATGGCCTGAATGCCAAATACTATATTTTGAAGATTGAGTTTAGGCCTACTAAAGATGTGTTACAAAGTGATGTTTTATAAAGAATTTGATGGGTCTGTTTACCTCTCACCTCTATCCACCTCTCCCTTTCTGACCACCATTACCAAAAAAAACCAAACTACCAATTTGGTTCAGAGTAGCTTTAGAGAAACTTAACACATTTAAAACAAAAATCTCAAAATTCAGTATCCCCAGCATTATGCTATATTTCCCCCCTATAAATTGCATAATATAATTCTGTTGAACAACTTATGCAGCTTATCTTTATTACTGTAGATTTCTGGCTAATTTCCCTAATCCTAATGCTAACAGTAAGCTTTAGTGTCATAAATAGATATTTTATCCTAGCAGTTTACAATCTCACTGTGCATAGATTGTCTCTAGAAAATAAAGATAATAATTGCATGATTGTAATATTTTGAAGAAGAGTTATAATAATTTTGAAATGTGGCTTGCAAACTAACCCAGGTTGGAAATACTGACTTCAAGAAAACTTTCAATGATATCAACAAAGTAAGAAATTTGGAATCTTGAGAAAGTACTGTGTATAGCAAAAATAATTAAGAATTCAGAATAAAGATTTCACTCATCTGTATGAATAACAAACCTACTTTTTGTGTGTTGGTTAGACAATGTCACAATAAAAGCATTGTTATGTACAGCATAAAGGCCTTAGTTATTTTTTAAATGAATGTTCAGGTCTCGGTTGCTACACACACTCTGCAAAGTTAATATTCTCATTATTTGTTAAGGTCCCCTGAAAGTATAAGCTCTGAAGACTTAATGACTACTTACAACCAGGGTCAAGTTTAGTAATTTTAAGTCTTTGAGACTCCTGCCAAACCCTATCTCTGATTCTTTTAATTAAATCTTTAAAATTTCTGTCTCTCTGTTACTAAAGTTTTTTCTTTTTTAGTTTCTAGTTTTGTAAAAGTTTGTTGGCAACATTCCTCTCCCACCCTCAGTGGTCTTTGTGAAGCAGTTGTTGGCAACATTTTAAAAAACAATTTAAAAATGGTTTTATACATAAGTCATTTCCAAGCAGAGATGTTCATCCTTCTACACATGAATGTCAGTTTGTATTGTATGCATTGCCACTATTTTTCCAGTTTGTTCTTTCTCCCATTTAAAGAATGCACACGCTTGATTTACCTGGTTCACTGCAAAGATGATCTGATCATATACATCACTTTGTGTGTACACTGCATATGTGTCATCCATTCGGTCCATATATCCTTTTAAGAAGAGATGTTTGAATGCGATAGTGTTCTCTTCCTTGAAAGCTACCACCATCTGGTTACTTAGCCCAAACAAGACCAGCTTCAAAGAAAAAAAAAAGCAGGAGGGTGAAAAATGTGAGCAGAAAAAGTGGAAGCAGATGTGCAGGGGCTTGTGTGGCAAGTAGCAGAGTTTAAAAATGAATTCTGGGCCATCATGAGGGTTTTGCAGCAGGTGGATGATACACTGTAAGGAAGTCCAAGTCCTATTGCTAAACTGTATTTCTACACCTAATTACCAAAGCTGTGACAATGAGATCAAACATAGAAAATATCCTTTCACCTCATCTCTAAAGTATATTTAAATAATGTATCCTTAATATTTTCATTAGAGTTCTTACATGAAACTCAGTTGTTCACACACAAAAAGGTGTTTTATCTTCTCTTCCCTCCCAAACCACCTCTCTCTCTCTTTCTGTCTCTCTGTCTCTCTCTCTCTAACACACACACACATTGTAAGTTTAGAAAGTACATTCTGACTTGGATCCCAGAGTGAGACACAGTATTTTTATGGAAGGGGGAAACGACACTGAGTGCCTATGTGTCAGCACTATTCCAGGAACTTTCCCCATGCCATCCCACAGCATAGTTCCAGAAATAACCATTTTACAGATGAGTACATAAAAGCTCAAAGAAGTTAAGTAATTTTTTCAAGTTATATCACTAGCAAGTGTATAGTTAAAATTGGAACCTGTGTCTGACAGAATAAATCCAAGATCTACCCACTTTATCATGCTACACAGAGTAATTAGGGTCTGATCAGGAAAAATATAGAGTAGACAAATCTTTCCCCCTCTCTCCTCTGCTTGTAACGTATGGCCTGCACCCCACACATGTCATCAGTCTCCATCTAACTTGATTGTCATTTCTGAAGAGCCTCTTTAAGCTAAGTGTCCTCATTTAAATACTGATAAGATGACAGCTTATATTCCAGGGATTTTATATATACGGAAGCTGATGACCAAAAAGCCTCCAAAGAATTCCCAAAGATATCCTTACCAGTTCATTCAAATACTTGAATACTTCCCACGTGCCAGCACTGAACTAGGGACTGAGGATTCAATGAGAAGACTATCAGTCCCTGCCCTGAAGGGCATAGTGGCAGATCAGAAGTAGCAGTGTCTGAGAGGGAACTGCTATAATTCAGAGACTGAGCCAGGGAGTGGGAAAAGGGAAATTTTTAGTAAGGTACCTATCTTTGTAGACATCTTTCTTTTGCTGCTACAGACACAAAATCTCCAACTTAACAGAAAGACCACCTTCTTTTCTCTGAAAAAAAGTAATCAGTCACCAACTCACACATAATTGCTCAATTACAAAGTTGCCTTTATGTGATATTTGTTTGATTGCTAAGATATAGATTAAGGAAGCATCACAATGAAGAAACTCTCAGTTTCTTTTTAAGACGTATCTAAATACCTTTTATATGCTTATTACTACTCGGCTTAAAATCTTAAACCATTGGCCAGTTTTCTTCTGTACCACCCTAGTAAACATAGGAAGGTTAGATAAGCTCCCTAAAAGACTAAGGATTAATTAAGAACATAAGTCCTAGAGAAAATAAATCTGAGTTTGAATCGCAGTTCTACTCTTCTGGTCTCCTATGACAGATTATTTTATCTTACTAAGCTTCAATGTTCCTGTTTGTGAAATGGGGATACTACTATTTACCTCCAATTTGTTTTAAAAATTGAATAAGATGATGTCTATAAAACATTTAAGCTAGTATACAGCAAACACTCAAGTGGTACCTATTATTATGCTAAGTAGAAAATATACGTATTCGACTGACACAGGCTTTTTCCCTTATAAGAAACAACACAAATTTCTCGCCATTGTGACACACTATTATCACAGAAG